TTACCTCTAGCTATGTAAGAAACAGTTTCCTCAAGGTAACTAGGTCTTTACTTGCCTGAATCCTTCAGTAGACTGTGTCCATCCAAGCTAAGATCCTGCCTTCCATTTTTCCCCAGTGGCCAGCACAGTGGCTGATACTGAAGACATTGTTCATTGAATGAAAGTTTTAGGGGGAAAAAGAATTTCATTTACTCATTCGCACAACAAATATTTATTGGGCAGTCACTATCAGTAAAACACTATGGGATGTACAAAAATAGATAAGACTTAGATCTGCAGTTAGAATTTTGTGGTTAGTCAGTGCCGAGACATTATTTAAATGGCCAGCAGGTGGTAGTACCCAACTGGACCAAAGGCAATCAGGTTCAGGGACTGAGAGGAGGAATGCATGGGTCAAAAATAGGGAAGGGTAAGCAGAGGTTTCCTAGGCCCCAGTCATGGAAGGGTACAAGAGACTGGCTAGCCAGAAGCAGAAGAATTTCACACATATGATATAGGGTCTTCGCTAAACTTCAAATGGCTTGACGGTGACATAAGCGTACCAAGTGTCTCACCCTTAAGAGTTTCCAAAAGTGCAGGTTTCCAAGGTATATAGAGCATGAGAGAAGGAAGGGGCCACAGTTATTACCAGGAGGCAGGAGAAAACAGATTGTATGAAATGAGGCACATTGGCTGAGGAGGGATTTGTATCATTAGGCAATTCATTCCTTAATAATTTTGTGTAATCTAAATCGAGAAGCTGCTTGCTGCCATGACTAATATAGCATAGATTTTTTTTTCAAGGTCAATTTTTACTCAGGAAAAATGAGAAATGGTTCTCTTCCTTGACCCTATCTGATAAAGCAGAAACCAAAGTAGATTTATACAAGTGAAAATAAGGCTGAGTAAGAGCACTTTGTCCTATAGATAACAGAAATGGATTAAGGCTGACTGGTCTCCAGGTAACCTATATAAGTACAGTCACATAACCTTGATTTCAGTATATAAAATAGATGATCAAGAGATTCACTGAAAATTATTCATGGCTGGCTCTTCACTGTTTTAATAGATTTTAAAAGCTGCTTCCTTGCCAACCATCCTATTGTAAACCTTCGCTGCTCAAGACTGTGGGCCAAGCTTTTTCTTCTGCCAAGATTCAAAAGGTTCTTATTGGATCTCTCAAAGTAGATTTAAAGAGTTTACAAAAAATTGTGAATACGTGATTAAAAGACTGTCTTTTCAACTGTGTATAAACATACATATTAGTAAATAAATGATGTCATGTTAAAATAATGTATAGTATGTATTAAAATCTCCTGAAAAACAAAAATTGTATATAAATGTGAATGATATATATATACCAGAAAAAATAATAGGTATATGATTAGAGATATTATCCCTAGAGCATGGACTAGTAGAATGAATTCGATGTACTTCAAATTACACAGAAAACTAATTTAGAATACAATATAACAAAGACAAGTAATTCAAAGTTTTTATTTTAAATGTCTTTAATAAAGTCACAAACCATGAAATAATGCTTAGCTCAAAAAATATAATTGCTCTTTCCACAAAAGTGTCATCTCAAAGGGTTGTGGTGATGATTAAATGAGGTAACCCAGTAAAGTTTTGGCTCAGTGCCCAGTACTTAGTGAGCACCTAATAAATACCAGTTATTTTTATTGATATGACTATGATCTGCCTACTTTCCCTTACTTTTCATGCTCATTGAGACTGGATTTTATAATCTACGAAAGAAGCTTGTTCCACTGTTAGCACAGGTGTCAGAAAATATGAGTTCTGGCCTAGGCTCCACTGCTTTCCAGATGTATGACCTTGGACAAATCATCAATGTAATCAACTGTAATATGGGAATAACAATTTGTGCACAGCTCAGATGAGATTACACTGTTTTGTTTTTCTTTGCTTGGCTTCTTTGATATAAAGCATTGTCCAAATGTAAAAGTCTGATGTGATGGCGTGGGACGTAGGATATCACTATGTGTAGAAGAACACAGTATTCAGGCCTGACTAGGCCACATTATAAGTTATTACAAGTTACCGCCTCCAGCTGTCACACCACCGCCCTCAGCTTCATGATGACATTCCTCTCAATAACCAGGGAGAGAGAGAGGCAGGCAGAAAGAGAGACAGAAATTAATATCAAACCCGATTAGGCTTTCTTGATCTACTATTGCTATTTAATCGCTATTATCATTTTACCATTCTTGATCTAAAGGGTCTTTACAAATCTTTCTTTAAGAGAAAATGCAAGTTGAATACCCAGCTACAGCCCAGCTTTCATGGCAAACAGGACCATGCTCTTTCCTCTAAAGATAGCAAACTACTTATTCAGATACATTTACTTTACAAAACAGGACATGGGATTATATAAACAGAAAGATCCTATTTATATTTGAATTACAGAGAAAAAGACTAGAAGAAAATACTTAAATGATTGTCTCTCTACATTTCATAAATTTCTACACTACATATACATATATATATATATATATATATATATATAAATTTTAAGCAATAAAGTAAGTTAAATATTCTAAAACATATGCTCTTCTTGGTAAACTAAGTGACGAGAGACCTATGACAGTGGGCCCATTTTCACAGGGTGATTAAAGAATACTGATTTTCAAAATTGCAGAGACAAAAAATATCACCCAGTCCCGGGACAATGAGACTGAATTATTAGGTGGGTTTTCTTTATGACTTCATGTTCTCAGGTTTAGCTCTTCAGAAATTTGCTCCAATGATCATTGATCTGCTCCAGTTTTACATGGCTCATTTTAATTAAGAGTTTCTAATAAAAGAATTATGTTTCTTGCTAAGTCAGGCCTTGGTAAGCTTGGGATAAAATATATTATAAACATTTCATAGCTGCACTGGTGCAGTTACGTGCAATGCAGGGTTTTCAAAATTCAAGTGCAAATCATCAAGATCTGTTGCTGCTTTATAGGTAAAGCTAATGGGTTCAATTAAAAACATGCTAAAAATTAGTACAGGAGTACTGTTTCATTATGCATCTACTGAACTTTATTTTTAGAATCACTTTTAGCAAGGCTCTGTTAAATACTTTTATAAAATTCTAAATCTTTCTCCTCTGACTTTCACAGAACTGATTCAGAGTGAAGAGGTGAAAGCATTACACAGCAAAAAAAAATCAGCAAGCTATGTTAAAAGCGAAAGCTAAATTTTTCCCCACCACACATGAAATTTCCATATATAAAATTTCAAAGCTGATTAATTTAACATTTGGAATAAAATAAAATGTTTTAAGTTTTGTAAATACTTCATTTAACTTCATAATAACAGTCACGGAAAAATAGAAGGCAACACTCACATGAATAAAATATTTGGCAAGGGAAATAAACACCATTTCAGTGACTTAATGACAGAAAAGAAACACTGTGGTCCAGATGGATTTGTTTTGATTAAAGACAATAGGGACATACATGTACATCCCAATTTCCCTGACAAGAAACAGCCTTTCTCCCCGGGGACATTTTTATTTTGCTTTCAACTTTTGACAACAACAAAAACAAAAGTCAAACATGCTTTTTTAAAGTTTGACATCCCAAGGCTCAAGTAGAAATATGTAATATGGTTTTTTTCCTTATGTTCCTACTCCGGCAGACTAAGTGACTAGCTTTCTACATCAAAAACCCCCTAAATAATTCTCAGAAGACAGGTTGTAAATAATTATTATGAGTTCTAGAACCAGATCCCAGGCAAAAGGATTTGGTTCAAGACACAATAGGTTAAAAGAAACTACAGATCATCTCATCTTGGATGGATTCAGCCTACCAATTTGACAGTGGCGTCGTCCATCTGGAGTATCTTGCTTGCTATCCGGTTCCTACATCCCATCCTCCTTGCATTTTTGTATATCCAAAAATACTCTTTAAAAGAAGAAATGTAAGGAAACACGGAAAGGTGGGAGAAAATGCCCAACTCCTTATTTTTTTATCTTTATTTTTTGACCCAATAAATATATCCCCTTGGCAAAAGAGATTTTCCCATTATTAGATGACACCCTAAAAAACCTAGTGGCTATCTCTTAGCTACAAAGTTAACATTTGCACTTTCCCTACTGAAAGAATACATAGATTGGAGCATGCCTTGTATTTCTCTATAAAGTGATTCAAAACAGACTGTAGCTTATGAAACAACAATTCAGAGATAATTTCATTTAAAAGTCTTACATCTAAATCATATGAGTAACTTCTCTATTTAGAATCAATTACAAAAGTATTGTAGTCAAACTTAATTCCATGAACGCAGTGTGGTAAATTCAGGTGAATTGCCATGATTGTTTCCTCTCTTTTTAATATTTCGAGATTTCATAGCCTTAGTGTCACTAGAGTTTAAAAAATGCAAAAGCATTTCTTTCTGTGAAAACTATTAAGGTGGTAAATGTTCTTCAAAACCATGAGACAAAAGTGGAAAACATCTGTTATACCTTTTCTAACAAAGTTTTTATACTAAATTTACTAATGGGTATAACCTTCAAATCACCTCTAGGAACAGTAAAGTGAAAGGGTTTAATATAAAACAAAACATTTTGCTAAATGTGAAACTGGATTCATTGTTTTTTAAGCCATGGGAACTGTTTTTTCTTAATAAAGCAACTGTTTTAATTCTTTGCATCGTCCATAGTGCCCAGATTGAACAATACATCATGTGACATTGAAGTTACAATTTTAAGCTATAGGCACGACATGTAGCCTGAGTAACTGGCTCTTATTTTGTTTGTACGCAACACTTTCCTCCTTCTGTAACCAGTTGGAAGCTGAACAACTTCTGAGCTACTTTAGATACAAGGCAAAACTGGGTAATTGTGAAGTTAGACATGTGTTTCCTTGTAAATGTCTCTCTGCAGAGTCATCTCATTTCCAAAGCCCTAAAGAAAACTAACAGCAGAAGCCTGCCGGTTAACCATGTGCTGTCATTGCAGAGTTTGCAGTGAATGTGTACCATGAAATTGCCAAAGATTTGTATATATTTTAATAAAAGCAGAAAGCAATAAGCAACAAAGGCAAGATGACTGCTTAATTAGCATTTGGCCTTATCTAGATGGCATCCTGCTGAGTCCAACCCTGACATCCGCAGTACTTTACAGAAGGCAGGGAGTTTTCTTTCTCTTTTCCTTTATTTACCTATATAAAACCAGAAAATCCTGTTTTTACAGTATTCACAAGCCAATCACCTCATTCCGTCATCTGTCTGTCTCAACAACTTAAGACATGGATGGGCTCTGCTTGCCTAAGATCTCTCAGCAAACTAGAACATCCTTCTCCTACATGGCCTGTGATGCTGCAGTTCCACATTAATAAACCAAAAGTAACTCCCAAAATTAGCACCTCCTATTTAAAATAGTATTTCTGTTTTAATATAAATGGGGCAAAAGAGCTGATAAAAATAAAAAATTAAACCTCTAGAAACCCACGCCTTTCCTGATTACTAACTGATCAATTTGATCCTGTCATTTAATAAAACAGAAACTTGAGAAAACATGCTGTGAAAAGAAGCTATTTAAGTGTGGAGTCCCTACTTCTTACAAGCAGTAGTTTCTTCTCACCCATAAGAAGCATTTCATATTCTGTCACTTTACCTGTGGCCCCAGCGCTGTTGCTAGTTCTGCAATCTCTTCTTTACTTTGTCTTGTAGTATTCTGAACTTTTTTAACCTGAATTACCCCCAAAGCACTACTCAAAATAAAGGGACATTTTAACAATTAGGAGTACTCCAGACAGCAAGAAGTCTGTGTACAGTACTTGTTTGCATAAACATGTTTAATGATATAGAAAATCTATTCCAAATCAATCACTAAAATCTAAAAGGAAAAATATATTACATTTTAAATGGAGGGAAAACATCTGGTTTTATTCAAGGTTGTGGTGAATCTGTTCGGCAACTTTTAAAGTTAATTCAGATGGCTTTTCAATCATTGCAATTACACATAGAGAATACTGAACCGAAAGATGGCAAGGCAATTGTTTGTGTCCAAACTTATGAAAAACTATATTTCCCTGGACTTTTCATCTCATGAATTTCAAATTCTCCTTTCCAAGGAGTATTTGACCTTCACATTTCAGGCCCTGTATCTCTTCATTTCCTATGTCCATCGTATGTTACAAAACTCAAACTGGGCTACAAGTATAAATTTCTGTTAACTGACATTAATGAATTTTGGATGTTTTCAAAATCTGCGATCTGTTCATTGTGCCAGCCCTGCATTGCAGAAAAGTCTTAGCCTGAGATTCCAGCTTCGCTCCTGCAAAAAGAGTCACTACAGGCTGGTTTAAATTGTATTTACTCGGAGAGAAGAGGGGGAAGGGAACTCCCTGCCCCTTGACAACCTGACAGGCCAGGCTGGTTGACAAGCCCCCAGGGTGGCCGCACCTCCCGCTCGCCGGCCTGGGCGCTGTCCTTGGTGCTGCCGCCGCCATAGCGAGCACAAGCGCCTTACCTTCTGCCCCTGCGGAAGCTGCGGTCGTTCCCCAAACGTTAAAAACGCCATATCCCACTTTTAATACAAATAACTACCCCGGCCTGTTCTCTTTAGGCTTCAGGCAGACCGTTCCTCAAAGTCTTTCTTTTTTCTTCTAGACTCAGCTCCTCTGCGCCCATCTCCAGCTGCTTTAAGACAAGGAGTGGGGGAAGGGGAGAGAGGCAAGAACACAGGACGGTGGGGGAGGGGAAAAGAGGGAATGCAGGGGGAAGGGAGGGAGGAGACGGGGTGAAGGAAAGATTGGAAGAAAAGGGTTCCGCCGAGGAAGGGGCTGAGAGAAGGGCAGGGTGAACGGGACTAAAGAAGACCAGGGTAGGAGGGAGAAGATGGGCCAAAAAAGAATCGGACGGGATTAAGCACAGAAGATGGGTAAAGAAAAAAGTACTGGGGAAATGGCAAAAGAAAAGAAAGCCTTGAGGATAAGAGTGTAGAAGAATAAAGAACAAGGGGACCCCCAGGGTGTCGGGGAAGTGCTGCACGAACAGCGGGACAGTGACAGACAAAGAAAGGGCGCTGATGATACTCGCACCAAGGGTGAGAAACGCAATGGGGAGGTGAGAAATGGGGAGAAGGCGAACCCCTGGAGACAAGTGGCCTGGGACTGAAAAAGGACCTGGAGGGAGGGGCTGAACCCCAGGCAGCAAAGTCCGGGGTCAATGCGGCCCGCGCGCGTGGAGAGGGTGCTGAATCACCGCTCAGCCGCCCCCCTCCCCTCCTCCCGACCGGTGCCCGCAGTCCCCGCCTCCTCGGCCGCCGCCTCCACTGGGCGGGGCCCTGGCCCGGGACCAGCTCCGCGGCTATAAATGGGCTGCGGCGAGGCCGGCAGAATGCTGTGACAGCCACCCGCCCCAAGGCCTCCAAGATGAGCTACACGTTGGACTCGCTGGGCAACCCGTCCGCCTACCGGCGGGTAACCGAGACCCGCTCGAGCTTCAGCCGCGTTAGCGGCTCCCCGTCCAGCGGCTTCCGCTCGCAGTCATGGTCCCGCGGCTCGCCCAGCACGGTGTCCTCCTCCTACAAACGCAGCATGCTCGCCCCGCGCCTCGCCTACAGCTCGGCCATGCTCAGCTCCGCCGAGAGCAGCCTCGACTTCAGCCAGTCCTCGTCCCTACTCAACGGTGGTTCCGGACCTGGCGGCGACTACAAGCTGTCCCGTTCCAACGAGAAGGAGCAGCTGCAGGGGCTCAACGACCGCTTCGCCGGCTACATCGAAAAGGTGCACTACCTGGAGCAACAGAACAAGGAGATAGAGGCGGAGATCCAGGCTCTGCGGCAGAAGCAGGCCTCGCACGCCCAGCTGGGCGACGCGTACGACCAGGAGATCCGCGAGCTGCGCGCCACACTGGAGATGGTGAACCACGAGAAGGCTCAGGTGCAGCTGGACTCTGACCACCTGGAGGAAGACATCCACAGGCTCAAGGAGCGCTTCGAGGAGGAGGCACGGCTGCGCGACGACACCGAGGCGGCCATCCGCGCGCTGCGCAAAGACATCGAGGAGGCGTCGCTGGTCAAGGTGGAGCTGGACAAGAAGGTGCAGTCGCTGCAGGATGAGGTGGCCTTCCTGCGGAGCAACCACGAGGAGGAGGTGGCCGACCTTCTGGCCCAGATCCAGGCCTCGCACATCACAGTGGAGCGCAAAGACTACCTGAAGACAGACATCTCGTCGGCGCTGAAGGAGATCCGCTCCCAGCTCGAGTGCCACTCCGACCAGAATATGCACCAGGCCGAAGAGTGGTTCAAATGCCGCTACGCCAAGCTCACCGAGGCGGCCGAGCAGAACAAGGAGGCCATCCGCTCCGCCAAGGAAGAGATCGCCGAATACCGGCGCCAGCTGCAGTCCAAGAGCATCGAGCTGGAGTCGGTGCGCGGCACCAAGGAGTCCCTGGAGCGGCAGCTCAGCGACATCGAGGAGCGCCACAACCACGACCTCAGCAGCTACCAGGTAGGAACCGCGGCTGCGCGGCCAGCCTGCGCCAGCGCCAGCGCCGCGCGCCCCCGACACTTGGGAGCGTGCCCAGGCGCCCTCTCCGCCGCGCTCCCTGGCGGCCACTCGCTAGAGCGCGAGCCGCAGACCTAGGCCACTTACCGACCGGCATCCTCGCCCCCTCCTCCTCCACTCTCCGCTCCCACCCACCTGCCCCAGCTGCCTAAGTCTTGACCTTTCTCAAAAACGTGCTTGTTTTCCAGTTCTAGTTTTGCGCCCTTGCACGTTTAAAGTAGGAGGGATGCATTGATAGTGGATAAAGCAGCAACTTTAGGATAGCTTATGCAGAAACGCATGTATTCTCTACTTTTCCGGCAGTGATCGGAAGAGCTCTCAAAATTGGCTTCAGCCCAAAGGGCTCAGATGGGAATGGCCAGGTCAGCCATGGAGTTTCCCCATGCGTGTTTGTGTCCTGTTGAGACGTGTTCTAAGTCCGCTGGTCTCCGTGCGTGATGTGCCCAGGAAGTTTCCTATTGTCTTATTGATCTTGTTTGTTCGTTTGAGAATCCCTTAGATTTTAAAAGAAAAAGGGGGTGGGGAGGGGGACTGGGAGCGCTGTCAGCGAGGTTTGCAGAAGTGGAGGGAGGTGGGAGGATGCGAGAGGGAAGGGTTGGCAAGTGGTTTGAGAGGGAAGTTGCTGTTTGCAAGGATGAGTCTAGGGAGACTCTCTGTGTCTGTTTCAGGACACCATCCAGCAACTGGAAAATGAGCTTCGGGGCACAAAGTGGGAAATGGCCCGTCATTTGCGCGAATACCAGGACCTCCTCAACGTCAAGATGGCTCTGGATATAGAAATTGCTGCGTACAGGTACGGTGCTCACTGTGTGCGTGGCCCGAACACTAACCGCAGTGCAGAGGCTGTTCGGGCAGAGCCTTCACCACTTAAGTTAAAGCAGGCAGTGTGCAGGCATCAACTAGGTGCCTGGTTTTCTTGCTTACTTAAAAAGAAATTATTCTAAGGAATTGCAAGTGTGGTTTTATCTCTTTTTATGCAGCTTTAAAAGAATGAATACTAGTAGAAACAAAAGGTTTTTGAATGACACAAAGGAGGTACAGATTAATCTCAATGCATATGCTTAAGCTTTTTATGGAAAAATGTTTTCAAATGCTGGAAGCACGAACAGAGTTCTGGTTTTTAATATTTCATCTCTGTGGTTTCACCTTTTCAAATGTATAATGTCAAGGACAAACACCAGGACATTCTATTTCTCTGTTTCTCTGTTATATAGCTTACTATTGCCATCATCTGGCTGAGAATAGATATAGATTGATATATTAGAATATAGATAGTTATTTTATATATGTAGATAATTTATATGTATTATATTTTATAGTAGTCTATAGTATAAATTCTCTATACATTGTGTATGATATTAATCTAGATCTAGAAATACATATATGTGCATATGTATATAAATCTAGATATAGAGACACAACTATATATGATCTTTTTATACATAGAGAGATAGGTTATAGGTCTACTAACTGATGTGACCTTGCTGTTGACTAAGCTCAAAGGACAAAATCGTTGATTAAAGTTTTCCTATTACCAATAAGGTGGTTATAATATAACAAGAATAAATTACACTTACAGAGCTATCTCTCTTTTCAGGAAAGCTGAATAACTATATTAAATAGACACTTCATGATTAAAAAAAAATCCACCAATTTATAACTTAATACACCCATATTAACACCTGGCTAAGTTCTGAAATATGCTTAACAGTAAGATTTTTATGAAAGTTACATTTGCTTTAAAAATAGTACATATCCTAAAAATCTAAATGTTTAAGAAAGTCACTAATCTCAGAAAGGCTGTTCGGCTTTGGAGTCTGGGGTTTCTGTTTGTTTGTTTTGGGGGGGTTCTTTTTGGTTTTTTTATTTGGCCACTAATGAGTTTTTCAGCATATTCATGCTGCACCTAATGGATCTCTACTGCAGGGCCAAGACTTAGTAGCTGGGTGTGGTCAGCGGACAATTGGGCAAGGTTAGTTATGGCAGGGGACAACTGTCTGGCAGTCCAGGAGAATCCTTCTCTATCACTGAGTAGGACATAATATGCCAATAAGTAATAGCAGATATTATACTGAACTGATAGAATATTTTACTTGTGTAATTCTATTTATTCAAAGGTAGCTACTGCAATACGCAGACTGTAATGAAACTCAGAAGGCCCAATGAAATTTTTACTATGTTTTATGTTCTTTGATTTTCTCCATAGAAAACTCTTGGAGGGTGAAGAGACCAGATTTAGTACATTTGCAGGAAGCATCACTGGGCCACTGTACACACACCGACAGCCCTCAGTCACAATATCCAGTAAGATTCAGAAAGCCAAGGTCGAAGCTCCCAAGCTCAAGGTCCAACACAAATTTGTTGAGGAGATCATAGAAGAAACCAAAGTGGAAGATGAGAAGTCAGAAATGGAAGAAGCCCTGGCAGCCATTACAGAGGAATTGGCCATTTCCATGAAGGAAGTGAAGGAGGAAGAAGCAGAAGAAAAGGAAGAGGAACCAGAAGCTGAAGAAGAGGAAGTGGCTGCCAAAAAGTCTCCAGTGAAAGCTACTGCACCTGAAGTTAAAGGAGAGGAAGAAGGGGAAAAGGAAGCAGAAGAAGGCCAGGAAGAAGAAGAGGAGGAAGAAGACGAGGGCGCTAAGTCAGACCAAGCCGAAGAGGGAGGATCCGAGAAGGAAGGCTCTAGTGAAAAAGAAGAAGGTGAGCAGGAAGAAGGAGAAACAGAGGCTGAAGGGGAAGGAGAAGAAGCTGAAGCTAAAGAGGAAAAGAAAGTGGAGGAAAAGAGTGAGGAAGTGGCCACCAAGGAGGAGCTGGTGGTAGACGCCAAGGTGGAAAAGCCAGAAAAAGCCAAGTCTCCTGTGCCAAAATCACCAGTGGAAGAGGCAAAATCAAAAGCAGAAGTGGGGAAAGGTGAACAGAAAGAGGAAGAAAGAAAGGAAGTCAAGGAAGCTCCCAAGGAGGAGAAGGTAGAGAAAAAGGAAGAGAAACCAAAGGATGTGCCAGAGAAGAAGAAAGCTGAGTCCCCAGTAAAGGAGGAAGCTGTGGAGGAGGTGGTCACCATCACCAAATCGGTCAAGGTGCACTTAGAGGAGACTAAAGAAGAGGGGAAGCCACAGCAGCAGGAGAAGGAGAAGGAGAAAGCGGGAGGAGAGGGACGGAGCGAGAAGGAAGGGGGTGATAAAGGTTCCAAGGAATCCAGGAAGGAAGACATAGCTGTCAATGGGGAGGTAGAAGGAAAAGAGGAGGAGGAGCAGGAGACCAAGGAAAAGGGCAGTGGGAGGGAAGAGGAGAAAGGCGTTGTCACCAATGGCCTAGACTTGAGCCCAGCAGATGAAAAGAAGGGGGCTGATAAAAGTGAGGAGAAAGTAGTGGTGACCAAAACGGTAGAAAAAATCACCAGTGAGGGGGGAGATGGTGCTACCAAATACATCACTAAATCTGTAACCGTCACTCAAAAGGTCGAAGAGCATGAAGAGACCTTTGAGGAGAAACTAGTGTCTACTAAAAAGGTAGAAAAAGTCACTTCACACGCCATAGTAAAGGAAGTCACCCAGAGTGACTAAGATATGAGTCCACTGCAGAAGGTTAAGCCATATGACAATTTCAAAATGCATGTGATTGGCAGCTTCAAAACAGAACGGGTTCTCCCATGGGGGCTCCAGACATTGTATTTACTTTGTGCAATATGAGGGGTTTGCATGCAAGCTCAGGGTGCTCCCTCCTCAGTCTTTGGGGGATTCAAATGCATGATATTGTATGTACCTGGGAAATTGGCCAATTTCCTAAGCTGTTGGAAGGGGGTCACTGGGGGGGATGTCTTGGGATGTATTATGCAAAGTACCAACTGAGCCAAATACAATAAATGAAGCAGAGAACTCTCTTAGCCTTAAGAAAGCTATATATGAATAACTACGTTTACCTCACTGGTGAGTTTAAAATGGACTTTTGTTCATGGGAGAACCTCGTTGACATGCACAGTTTGCAATCTTATGTTGATCGATGTTAAACGTCACAGCAGTACTTGCTCAATAAAGGTCATATTGGAAACATAGTCAATTGCTGGGTCTTATGTCATTTCTCTTTTTATAATTTTTATTCATTTTTATTTAGAGAGAGGGGTCTTGCTATGTTGGCCAGATTGGTCTCTAATTCTTGGCCTCAAGCGTCCTCCCGCCTCAGCCACCCAAAGTGCTAGGATTATAGGCATGAGCCACCATGCCCAGCCTATTACGCCATTTCAAAGTGAAATCTCCACTACCTGAAGCTTTCCTGCCCTAAATTAGATTATTGCGGGGAACTGTAAATGACCTGCACTTATTGCTAATTTCCCTAAGAGTGATTACTTGGAAAACGTAATTGCTGAAGATATTTTCAGGTGTCAACATATTCACAGAGCCCAGTTTTCATCCTGAAGTGTTAAAATCATATTTTTGAAATAAAAATAAAAACATCAGATACAAATAGGAATCTGGTGGGATAGAAATCTTCAGTATCTCTATCCCAAACTGGAACTCAAAGAACCTCTAGGTAAGAGGACCAATAAAAGAGGTGTTCCTAACTTGTGCCTTGGAGTTGGGACAGAGGCAGAGGAGCTCATGGCATTTATGATGACGTGTGCAAAGGAGACAGAGCTGACATCACTAACACTCCCACCAGGAAATACCCAGCCTCAGAGGCATGCCTCCTGTGCACAAACACACACACGCACATTGTCGGCATCAATCATTCTTGATTTGGTTGACAGAGATTTGTACCTTTAGTATTTTACTAATTGGGGAAAATAATATAAAAAATAAAATACCTTATTTGAGAAAAGAAAAATGAGATTCTGTAGTAAGGCTGTAAGTGTTTTTAAATAAAAATACCTGATCTTGACCAAGGAAAGAATGTCATTCCCTTTTCAAAACTTGTTTTAGCCCTTGAAGACCATTCATATATTAATTAGCACATTATCTTTTCCAAGTCCATGTTTTTTCATTAATAAGATCAGCCCAATAATCCTTGTTGATATTTTGAATGATTTTTCAAGATAACTCCAATTTTAATGCCTAAACATACCCAGGAAGCTCATTGTTAATGGCAGTTTTTTATCGTGTTTCCCAGTCATGAGCCATTTGCCAATCCTCACAATTTTGGCTACATCTGAGTATCGTCTGTACAATTATGTATTCAAATTTTTTTCTTTAAAACAATTTATATTTTAAAGATGTTAATTTTTCTGAAGCAAAAAATATCCATGACACACAGAGTGAAACAAGATTATTTAAAAATAATCAGTAAGAAAACCCTGATCTAGTGATTCAGAATTTTAAAATAAAAGAGTATATTGGAAGGATACAGAGTAACTCCTAGAGTGGAAACATCAGCAGGAGAAGAAGGTTTGGGGAGAGAGGAGCTGGGACAGCCCCAGGGACAGACGTCACGGGAATCATCACACAGTCACAGGGCAGATTAAACTGAAAACTCAGTGTCACTTCATTGGTATTCCAGGAACAAAGCATCATCTATTTGCCACACACCTTGGCCAGCAAAGAGGAGCACCTTGATTGATAGTCCCACCCAAACTGACTCCAATGGCAGAACAATGACTCTTCACAGAAAAGTCTGGGAGCTGTTGTCAGAAATAGAAATAGAGGCTGGATTTATATGATACAATCTATGTGAATTTTTTTTTTTTAAGACGAAGTCTCATACCATCTCCCAAACTGGAGTGTGCCAATCTATGTAAATTTTTTAAATGCCTACTAAATATACAGTTATTAAAATACTCATTTGCACCTAAAATTATCTCACCTACAAGCACCAGTCTTTGGGGCTTAGGAGGTTCTTTTTGGTCTCATATATTGTTTAAAAATGACATGGGGAAAAATGCTGGATATAGTATACACCTAATACAAAATTTAAAAAATAAAAACAAAATTTTTACAATGACAGAATCAATCAGCAAAACTCTCCAGCCCAGGTGCCAGAAACTTAACTCTTCAGCTCTAACTTTGTTTTCAAGCACTTTGTTTTCTTTCCTAAGAAGGTAAGACATTCAGTAATACTGCCACATATTCCATAAAGCAAAATCGCTATTTTGTATTCTTTCAAAATGATAGAACACCTCTGGCTGCAGTGGCACAGCCCAATAGTCACAGCTGTTCCAGAGGCTGAGACATGAGGATCACTCAATCCCAGGGGTTTGAGTCCAGTCCTGGCAACATAGCGAGAACCCATCTATAAAAAAATAAAAATAAGGACGGGTGTGGTGACTCAGGCCTGTAATCCCAGCACTTTGGGAGGATGAGGCAGATGGATCATGAGGTCAGGAGCTTGAGACCATCCTGACTAACACAGTAAAACCCCATCTCTACTTAAAATTCAAAAAATTAGCCGGGCATAGTGGCACGTGCCTGTAATCTCAGCTACTTGGGAGGCTGAGGCAGGAGAATCTCTTGAACCCAAGGTGGAGGTTGCAGTGAGCCAAGATCTTGCCACTGCACTCCAGCCTGGGCAACAGAGTGAAACTCTGTCTCAAAAATTAATTAATTAATTTTTAAAAATAAAAATAAATAGAACAACATACCTTTGATAACCCATGCAAGTATTTCTAAGTCAATCGATTGCCTGGCTGATTCATTTACTCAATAAATGTGAACTGAGGACTAGAGCCTGGAGGTACAATGGTCTTCTCGTATAAAATTACTTATTTTGTATCACTGCCAGTCACTACATTGTTATTGAAAGAGAAGAAATTTGAAGTTCGCGTTTCCAAATATGTTCAGTAACAGCAAGAAACAACATTTAAACTAAGTGCAAATCTCCCAATGTTTCGAATATAAGGGCACCTTTCCTCTGACTACAATCGGTCTCTGAGCACAATGAAATTAAGCCATTGAAAAACAGAATTTCTACTTTGTCAGTAGATTGTCTTTGAGATACTATTTTATTTTAAATATTATGAGGATTATCAAAGTTCATTTATTCTCAATCTTCAAACATATAAGAACAGATTTTTTTTTAAAGAAAAAAACTTCCTCTGGATCACATACTAGTAGATGATAGAACTGGAATTTAACTCAGATAATACAGGTCCAGAGTATATACTTTTTCTTGCTTGTCTGTTTTTGAGACAGGATCTCACTTTGTCACCCAGGCTGGAGTACAGTGGCATGACCATGACTCACTGCAGCCTGGACCACCTGGGCTCAGGTGATCCTCCCACCGAAGTCTCCTGAGTAGCGGGGACTACAGGCATATGCCACAATGCCCAGCTATTTTTATGTTTTTGGTTTTTGTTTTTTGTAGAGATAAGTTTCATGATGTTGCCCAGGCTGGTCTCGAACCCCTGGACTCAAGCAATCTGCCCACTTCAGCCTCCCAAAATGCTAGGATTACAGACATGAAACACCATGTCCAGCCCAGAGCATATACTCTTAACCCCTGTCCTATAGAAACCCTCAAATCCATCCATTGTGGCCATCTCCATTTATAAGGATGTTAAGCTATGATCATTTCTTTCTTTTCAAATTGAAAAAAAAGCCAACAGAACCCTGCCATAAATCATTCACATAATATACTTGCATATCTCTTTACATTTTAAAAAAAAGATATAATATTACTTCTCTATGGCACTGTGTTTATATCATGAGGAAAAGAATAAGTACTCAAATTAAATGTAAGTGGTGATTACATCAAAACAGTTTGCAAGTCCCAAATACTTTTTTCATAGTAACTTTCATATCCAATAGACAAAGAGCTATTTCTAGCGCATTTCCTTCTATTGCCAGTCAGTGCAGACAGAGATATTAGGATATTCAATTAAAACATTAGGATATTCATTTCCACAACAAATAGGTTGGTTGTTCCAGTCTGGAACAAGTTCTTTCTTTCTTGATGTTTTATATAATTTGTCCGAAGGGAACCAGGAGCTATTTTTAAGTGAAATATTTTATTAGATCTGCATAAAATGTGTCTATTTTTAGGGCCCCTCAACTCTTAGAGCTTGGCAAAAGTATTACATTAGAGTTCAAATCCCAGGCTGTAGATAGCAAAATTGTGTGTTTTGGGTCCATTATATTTACCCTCTAAGACACTACTTCTGTATCTGTAAAACAAGGCTGCTGAAGTGATGGGATGTTACCTATGAAAACGCTCTGCACTGTAGCAGGCATATGGTAGCCAATCAAAACCATTTGTTAAAGATAGAGAATTTTAAATTGGATCACAGCTATAGGTACAGAATTTTTTATTCAAAGAGAAGAAATTAATTCATACATTAATTTTCTTATATATAATTTCAATACAGATTCCAATGATGAGTTTACCACAATAAGTATATGGTATGAATATAAATACACTGATGTGCACATATATTTCTTCATCAGTGTACACATAATTTCATTACCCATATAGAGAATTTGGGCGGAAAATCACTGCATTTTTCATTGCATTAATCTATATAGGCTGCTTAGACACCCAAGAATTCATCTACATAATCACAGGGCTTAAAAGTTTCTTGATGTAAATTATTTAAAACCGTAATGAGTAAGAGGGAGAAATATTTTTGTGCTTGGACTCTAAATACAGTAAGAAATCCCCAAATCCGTGTTAACTGTGTGCTCAACACCATAACGGAGGGCTTTCAGGATTCTCTTTGACTTCTTATTTGAGGTATTTTGAAAAGTTACCACATCATACCTTCAATAAGGTATTCATCTTAAATAATACTCCTTAAACCATTCCCTAACTCTAGTTGGCATTCTTATCTTAGAAGAGAACAGAGTCAAAAAAAAAAATAACAGTTGACTACAAAAAAGGCTTTTTCATTCGGTTTATGAAAAGCGTCATCATTCCAATGGCCTAAGTAGGAAGGACCACGACACAGGCCCAGGCACAGTCTTGTTTTGTATGTGTATGGGTGAGGTGAGTAGGGGGTGGAGAGCACAGAAGCAAGGGCCCCAGAACTTGAGTGACAACATTGTGTCCAGAAGGCAAACACCAGGAATTTTTGATTCTGCATTGAGGTCACAAGATCACAAGGGCCAACTTCAAGTATCACAGGCCCTGCTTCT